CCTTCCAAGTCATCACCATTTTTCTTCTGATCTTCGATCACTTTCGAATAATCAGTCTTCAAAAAAAGTGTTTGCGCGATCAGTGCTGCACAAATAGCGTTGTAATTAGTAATAATTAAGCTGTGGATTTAATTTATCGCATATGGCTGATAAAACCGGTTATATGAAATCCACCATGCTTATCCGCAACTAGATTAGCTGGCAATTATGTATCTCTGAGCACATAAATAGGATAATTGAATTAATAACACCCGGGTACTCCAGTGCGTCATAACTAAACATGGTATTTCACTGAGACTCCAAACGTGGTTATCACGTTCCCTTTCTCAACTTTCCTGTTTTCAGAGATTGAGAAGATGTGCTTCCTGCGACCAACCCCGAAAATGCTTCCACTATTTACCTCTTTAAACTTAAAAAGGTCAAAACTCCTACTAGTAAGACAAAAAAAACCACGTAAACGATGGCGTCACATCCAGCACTTTTCTTCTTTTTGCACAACAACAGAGGAAGAAAGCCGACACCAGGGTCACTAGCGAACATAGGCGAATCCAGGGTGGTCTCCTGCGGGAGGATTTCCTACCTTCCCTTCACCCTTCGTCACTTCCCTCCCCCTCCCTTCCCCTCGGATCCGCCAGTGCTCTGACCATCGGCTAATGCAGCTGTGGTCACAGCAACCGCAATAAGCACCAGATTCACCCGAGGTACCAAACTTTACTACTATTTGGAAACAAAAGTAAGCAAAGAATGCTCCCCTTGTATTCCCAAGCAGCGCTCAAAGCTCCGTCTTGAAACAAAAGAAGCTGAAAATTACAATGAATTCCAGTCACCAAAACCGTCTGTTCCAAAACTAGCACAGACTGTTCGATGTTTGAAAACATACCGGTAAATAATCGTACTTGCCAGCCACTTTAACAAAACTGGCTCGCTCCCCCCAATCATTCATTGTTTTGGCCACAAATTTATTACAGAACAAGCTTTTTGCTCCAGGCAAATTTGCACCGCATGGAACGAGACTTGTCTGCCCCTGAAAACACAAATTACGGCTGGTAAAATAAAATTTATGAAAAAATTTTACCATAGAGAATGACAAAGTTTTAAAAAGTGAATTTATACGTGATTTGGCCCGCCAAC